AACGAACAGGCACGAATTACAGGATTCCCTATGTGTTCATGCTTTTTTTTCTGGGTTCTCGTCTCCCCCCACCACTTCCCATGTGCTCCCACCTCTTCTTGGGAGTCGACGGTTCGTCGTGTCCGTGTATTTCTTTCACTCCTGAGGTGTGTTGTTTGGGGTTAGAGGCGTCATAGGGGGAGCTCTGCCCGCTCCCGCGGGGGGAGGCCAGGCTCGGCGGCCCCTCTCCGGGGCCCAGGGCCGGTCTGATGCTGCTGCCCCACCCCAATCATAACCTGTTGATGGGTCTTCGTTTTGAAGAGACAGCGCCCCGCGTCTCCTCTCCTCTCCTCTCCTCTCCTCTCCTCTCCTCTCCTCTCCTCTCCTCTCCTCTCCTCTCCTCTCCTCTCCTCTCCTCTCCTCTCCTCTCTCCTCTCCTCTCCTCTCCTCTCCTCTCCTCTCCTCTCCTGTCATCCTTCCTCCTCCTTCCGCTTGCACATCCCCCCATCCCTGCCTCTGCCCCCCGCACCCCGTACAGCGTCTCGTGGTCCCAGAGGGGGCCCCGCCCAGTACAGCGCTTCGTGGCCCCATAGGGAGCTCCGCCGAAGGCTCCAGTGGCGGTGTTCGCATGCGTCCCCCCCGCCCAGTACAGCGCTTCATGGCCCCAAAGTGGCTCCACCGAAGGCCCCAGTGGCGGAGTTCGCATGCGCCTGTCCCACTCGGTGCAGCGTTTCGTTGCCCCAGAGGGACCCCCACCGAAAGACACCGTTCCGTGCCCCCATAGGGAGCTCCACCGCAGGCCCCAGTGGCGGTGTTCGCATGCATCTCCCCCATTTAGTACAGCGCTTCGTGCCCCCATAGGGAGCTCCACCGCAGGCCCCAGTGGCGGTGTTCGCATGCGTCTTCTCCGCCCACCGTACAGCGCTTCGTGGGTGGCCCCATAGGGAGCTTCACCGACGGCCTCACTGGCGGTGTTCGCATGCGTCTCCTCCACCGAGCACAGCGCTTCGTGGCCCCATCGGGAGCTCCGCCGATGGCCCTCGTGGCGGTGTTCGCATGCGCCTGCCCCACTCAGTACAGTATTTCGCGGCCCCATACGAAGCTCCACCGAAGGCCCCAGTGGCGGTGCTCGCATGCGTCCCCCCCACTCAGTGCAGCGCTGCGCGGCCCCATAGGGAGTTCCATCGAAGGCCCCTGTGGCGCGCGTTCCACCTAAAGCGCTAGTGGTAGCGCCCACATGGCAGCCCCGCCCCATATCGGCATACCCTTCGCATGTTGCATGGCCCCATGAGGGCATTCCCCCGAAGGCGATACCCGCAGCACGACATTCACAACTGCATATGGTCGGGTGTCCTTCGCCAGGCTAATTTTGGGTACGACATTGCTGGAGACGGCACCCCAGGCTCGGTCGGCATCGCTCGGACGTGTGCATTTTTCTTTCGGCGAGGACCATCGAGGAGCATCCTTGATCATCTGGCGAAAAAGCCACGCACGAAACCGACAAAAAGCACACGGAATGGACGTCCGAGCGATGGCGAGCAGGCGCCCCAGGCCCCCCCCCCCGTCCTGGGGAGCGAACGTAGCCGCGCTTCGCGCGCGTGGCGGCCCGGGTCGGAGAGCCGCCCTCTTCTTCAAAGGTGGCCCCGCGGGGACACGCAGGAAACACGTCGCATCGCACGCCGCGGGGCACAGTGCGCGGAGTTAGGTGACACAGGAACGCAGGCGGGGAACACACACACACACTTTGTTGATCCGCGGGTCGAGAGCGCACCTCTTCCGCTAAAAGCTAAGCGGGCCGCGCACAGCTTTAATTAACAGAGGGGGGAAGGCAGAGGGAGTGGCCTCACGTCAAGGCCAAGAGAGGGCAAAGCCCCGGAAACAGGCGGTGCCGAAGACGAGGTGCTTGCAAAGGAACGCCTTGTGCAGGAACCTGGCGGCGAAGAACCGGAAGAAGCAAAATGCTGTGGTGGTGGTGCAGGCGGGGAACAAACACACACCTGCCATCATACGGGCGTCCCGCCCCATTTCTCCCGTTCCTCTGTGGGCACTCGATCTACGACGGTGTATTATGCCAATCCCGGCGTTCTACTTCGATTTCGTTTCCTGGGGTCCATTTTCGGGCCCAGGGACAGTGAACCATTGATCTGGGGCTGGAAACTGGCCCAGGGGAAAGGGGTCGTCGGACGGGGCTAGAACGAGGAAGAGTCCGTTCCAGAGCGTTCCAGAACGCTCTGAGGGTGTAAGGGCGTTCCAGAATGGTCTGAAAAGGCCGCGGCGCCCGATTCGTGCTCCAGAGACGTGCTAATCGTTTCGATCACTCTGCCGCGCCATATTGTATGACGGCTCTCGGCTCCACGTTTGTTCGTTGCCAATGTGGTGTTGTTGAGAGGCGGTTGTTCTCTGGCGCGATGCGTGGGGAGCGTTCGAGCTGAAGCAGTTGCTGTTGAGCTGCCTCTGGGTGGGTTTGTTGCGGGCCTCTGCGGTGCATGAGGCATGTAGGTGTTTAGCTTGGGCCAGTGTGGGGAATATCCTCTGTGGATGTTCGGTTTGGTGGCAGTCTGAAGATTTGAGTCTCTCCGTGCAAGCTGTGTATCCTGCTTTCGGGTGGGAGGGCTCTCGGGAACCTCTTGGCGATATGCTTGCAACCTCCTCGGGCCTCACTGGTGCCTCTTGGGCGCCTCTTGGGTCCTTTTGGGGGCCTCTTGGGGCCTCGTGGGAGCCTCCTGGGGGCCTCTTCGGGCAAAGAGCTTGAAATGGCCGCTCGGGTCCCCCGTCTGGGCCCTCTCTTGGAGCCGTCTTGGGGGCCTCTGAGGCCGTCTTCGAGGCCTCTTCGGCAGTCTTGGGGCTCTCTTGGCAGAGCCGCCCAAGACGGCGCAAGAGGGTCCCAAGAAGGCCCCAAGAGGGGCCCAAGACTGGGAACGCGAACTGAAACATCAAGCTCTCCGCCCCAAGATGCCCCCAAGAGGCCCCAAGATGCCACCAGGAAGCCCCCAAGAGGCCCCAAGAGGTTCCGA